AAAACGTATAGTTATCTGCAGATGGGTGGGTGGGAGGGGAAGTGCGGGGGAGTGACACTAAAACCCGAGATGCGCATTTATGCAAATTCTAGATCTTAACCCACAGGTTCGTGACGACATTTGCTCGACATTTGCAACAACGCCGTTAAATCACAAGTGCTTGTAGAGCAAATAAACAAGTGATTCCAGAATAACTTTGCATTAGTTTGACTGGGGAGATCCACTCAATATTCAGCATTGATTTTCATCTGTAATGTTTTGCACTCCTTACATCAGTCTGAGTGGCAGATATGCTTCGTTGGCCAATGCCGAATCCCCAACACAACAGGGAAAATAAAGTGTATAATAGACCTCAAAATGTGCCGCAAGCAAAATTGGCTATTTCTGCTCATTGCTTCAACATGACCTCTGCTCTGCTAACCACCATACCACTCATCTTGTATTAATGCTCAGGAGGGATAGTGGCTAAAAGAAAGTGGTTAACAAAAGTCTAGTATTGATTCATTGTAGATGTACTTGTAACTCTTTAATAGAATGTTGGCGGGTGTTTGGTAAGATCCAATTGGAAGTTTACGCGGACCGCTGGGGGTTGATTTACTCTACATCGCTACTGTGGATACTTTAAGTGCATTTAGCTGACTACACTTATTTGATTTTGGTCAAAGACACCCGGTGGAGATTTGTCCAATGGTGGGGCTTTGGGACCCTGTGTGTTGGTCCCTGTGTGCTGATTTAACGTCAGTGCCAAACAACATACAAATGTGCCCGATAAAGACACTGACTGCCAGCAAGCAAATATGGATTTAAACAATGCACCATTAAAATAATTTTAAAAAAGTGTTATGAGGAAGGAAAAGCCTCAAGGATACAGCATACACGATGAGTTCTACTTTGAATGTAATCATGGCTTTACATTGTTAACAGGAAAGCTCCACAGGGTACCTTTTTAAGTACAATTACAGATGCAGGATTTGTAGTGCTCAACATTATACATTTCCAGTGCATAAAATAAAATCCCAGTCCTTATGACGCACGTGTATGGGATGTAGTTGAGATGTTCAGAGGTCTAACCAGCTATGTCTGGCCTGCTATGCTGACTTCAAAGCGTTGTCTATCACCCTTATCCCCTCTACCAGGACATCTTTTATCTCCAACCTGTCAGCGCATTGACATCTCACTCTGTGCAACCCCCGAGTCCCAGTCCATTGATGTCTCATTATCCACTGTTAAATGACTTTTCTGAATACACTAAGGGTAGCTATCGTCGGTATCAAGTGGTTTTCATGACAACTGAACAAACAGGAAATGATTATGTAATGACGGTGATTTCAGTTCACGCTTTGGGCTAAGCGATCTGAGGTGTTAGCCGTAAAAGGATATGCGAGAACATTATGGCGCTCATTATGTATAGTTAAAGAGAGGGGTTATTTGCTTTTGTTACATAAAAAGTGTGTTTATGTTTGTAGGAGTCGCAGCAGCAGCTATAGCGTTGAAGATCATTAATTACGGGAGTTTCCCTACTTTCCTCCAGGACTGATAGTATGCTGCGGAGACACTGGCTCATTGGAGTAAATGGCATTAGCACTTTGTTCGCCGGGTGCCCTGGGGCCTTGTTTCCAAGCCTTTTTTTTGTATCAGGCGGCAGCCTTGCGTGAAGCTCCCTTACACTACAGTCTATTTCTCAGGCTCTTATCCCCCCCTATGGAATTCCCCACCAGTGTATTCATTTGCAAATGGAGAGACGAGAGGGTAAGAGCGAAGGAAAAGGTCCAACGAGGCTCTCAGAGTTCATTAATCTAGGTAGCATTTAGAAAAGGCAAGACAAGCTCGACGGGGCATTAAGCTAACAAGCCAAATGAGACAAACAGCATGGCTGGTAGCAGGGAGGGACATGTAGTTAGCGCGTGGCTAAGGATACACTCTACTTGAGACTCCCATTGCAGCAGTAGGGAGGGGAGGAGTGTCGCCGCGCTCATTAGCATCGCAGCGTGGATAGAGGTAGAGCCGATCTGCTGCCGGGGCTGAATCTGCAGAGAGGGGCCCACACAGGAAGAGGCTCCTCCGACATGAAAGGCAACACCACAGTCTGCAACTCCTCGTGATTCCTGCCTGATTTCTTCTTCTTTTTTTTCATCTTCACGAATTCAATTTGTAGTCCTCCTCCTAATCATATCCCGTATCCTCTCTCTAAATCATCTCATCCCGAAACCTCTTCACTAATCATGTAAGTTGGAGAGGAATAAATGCCTAACAGATGCTAGTATTGTCAGGGGCCGGTTACATGCGACTGCGCCCCTCAGTGGAACTGATCATTTTGGGCGGTTTACCTAAGATGACTCGTTCCTCCCTTCAGTTTAACCCCCCACCACTTGTGTCCCACTGTATGTGGGGCTGGGGACAGATTTGAATGTCCTTACTTTCTCACAAAGGGACATTATTGGTGGACAGAACCAGAGCAGTAACTATGGACGGAAAGCTGTGGGAAGACTTTTCCTGTCCTGAACTTGTACCACAGTATGCCTATTCTCATGAATAGTAGGTTTAATGTGCCCATTTTACAGCTTCTCCCTTTTTCAAATCTGTAATTGTATTAGATTTGGAAATAATAGGCTCAATGAATGAAATCTGTCCTGTGAGAGCCACCAATTTGAAAATGGACACTCACTCCTCATATCCTGCAATGACAGTTGAGAAGGTTCCTATTCAAATGCCTGTGATGTTTTTGAGTGTTTTAATTGAGATATTTTATTTTTCCTTTTTGTTGTACAGGACTGTCTCAGAAAATTAGAATATTGTGATAAAGTTCTTTATTTTCTGTAATGCAATTAAAAAAACAAAAATGTCATACATTCTGGATTCATTACAAATCAACTGAAATATTGCAAGCCTTTTATTATTTTAATATTGCTGATTATGGCATACAGCTTAAGAAAACTCAAA